TACTGAAATTAATTTTCCTTGAAAAGATTATTTTTAAGTGTTTTGTATGGAATTTATTTTCACTGATTTTTGACATGTTGAAGGTAAAATATAGGAAAAAGAGTATATTTGCTGGATTTTATTTTCATTGAATCATGCCTTCAGCGAAGATAGGAAAATTAATTCCAAGCGAAAATAAAGTATTTTACAGTTGAATGAAAAAATTAGATAAATGAAATAGATATAGAAAATATTTAAAATTAATAAAAATTTAAGATAAGCCTATCAAAGATGAACTTTGTGAAAGCAATCTGATTATATATTAATGGAAATATTATGCTTATAAAGTAATTAATATTACTTTCCACTCGAAACCAATAAGATCTGATAGTTATCCCAGAGTACTTATGCAACAAATTTCATTGACATATATTGAATGGTTTTTGATATAAGCTATGGAAATGCTTAAAATTAATTTAAATTATGCAAATTAAATATGTAAATTTACGTATTCCACCAAAAACTAATCTTTGTTTTATTTTTGAGCTTGCTTGGTTTCATTGAATTATGTTAAATGGTTCTAATTGTTATTCAAATTAGGTCATTAAAATGCATGAATTATTAGATTTAGTTTGATCTGCATATTATCTATGGAAATATCAGTGGAAGAGATACACATACATACATACGTATAGACAGGGTAACCACAAAGAACTCCTACTCTGTGCTTCACTCACACACAAAAGAGTCAAAAAATATCCATAGAAATGTCAACTAACAATTTTGCAACTTTTATGAGTCAGTATACCGTAAGTCACATAATTTTTCAGCAGCAAAATATTTGTATTTGGTCTATTGGACGTGCATATAAACCAGTCTTAATTAGTAATATTACTTATTTTGACCATAGAAACCACTGTAATTTACATAATTATGTTGCGATATTAACAGACCGAATACGGAAATCACAGCCACTTTTGTGAACTGTTAGGGCCATTTTAAACATTCAAATCGATAAAATTTCTAGCAGTGAAGTTATACAGAGTACTGAATAATATATTTTGAATACTTGCTGGTGAGTCGTATAAACATGTTATGATAATTTATTGACAAGAGAAACATCATTAACAGTGTCCAGACTAATTTTAAAATATTTGTGTGTGTGTGTGTGGGGGGGGAGGTATATAGCCCTGGGGTAGTCACTCTATATGCTGTTACTACCCCATGTGCGTTCCAAATTTAGCGGGGAAGCGGTGTGTTTTTCACCTTCTAAAGCGGGCCCGCGCCGGAAGCAAATAGGCCCCCTTTAAAATGCTAATGTCTGCAATAGGCCCGCTGTAGCCCCCTCTTGCAGCAACCACTCCCATATACCCATAGCCCCGACCAGGCCGCAAACTCTGCCCGAACTTTCCCACCGGGACTTTCCCGCTACTTCCAACACGAAGCATACGGAGGCTTATTGTAATCGAAGAAATGAAACAAAACGGGATAACACACATAATAAAAATTTAACTGTATTCAGTGAAAATAGGTATTATATGCACAATATTTAAAAAATATTTGCTGAAAATAATATTTAAGCAATAAACCAACGCCGGAGACGAAACTTGACCAGTATTTTTATTTATTTATTTGTTGCTACCCTTTTACATCAGGGGTTCACTAATTAGTAATTAGGAGCTGCAATAAAAATTAATGGAAAAAGCACATACTATATAAATGAAAAGGGAAACAGAAAATTTAAAACTTAAAAGAAAGTACAAAAATGAAACTTTTTAAAACTTAATGAAAATACAAAAAAAATGAAACCTTTGAATTAAAGTAAATACAGAAAATAAATCTATTCTACATAATCTCTTCTATAATCCATGACATCAATAAGATATCTTTCCACAATTCTATTAAATATATTTACTTTTCAGTCGTGTATTTAACACCCTAAAACATTTGCCGAAAACAACGGGATTTTAATTTAGTAAACGGTTCGTTTCGCTAATTAAAGATAATCAGAAATCTGCAATCACGCGGCGAAACAAGGGTCTTACAGGTACAATAATCACAACTATCGAACGAAACTTGAGCAGTATTTTTACTGTTCAGTCGTGTATAAATCTTCATAAAAAAATTGTCTATAATTAGCGAAACGAACCATTCACTAATTAAAATCCCGTTATTTTTGACAAATGTTTCATGGTGTTAAATACACGACTGAAAGGTAAATATACTGGTCAAGTGTCGTCAGACCTGAGTCTTAATATTGAGTGACCCCTCCGGGTATATAGCATACTCGTTCGACTTAATGTCCATGCTTAACTAAGCACCCACCACCACTCTTCGACAATGACCGTGAAAGGTGGTAAATATTTCATTTCATCTTGGGTTTACCTTTCTAAATTTGCTACTGGTGATTTTTTTTTTCCAAATTCATGCCTCTTCACGCCGAAATTCCAACAGATCGTACTTTGGTGTTGATAATTCTAAGACAGACACGTACAGTTTAATTCTCATTGGTACATGGAAGTATACACATAATGTTTGTGGAGAAAAAACTAAAAAAAAACACAAATTTGGCAACATTTTTTTTAATACATATACTTTTTAATCAAATAGATATAATAAGTAACTTTTTTTGAAAATCAATATTTTTTCAAAATTAATATGAACACTGTCACTGTAACCATGCAAACCAGATTATTGAACAATAATAAAAATAATAATAATCACTAAGTTTATTTTAACTTCATTATATCATGATTCTGCTCAGATTAATCTATTGGGGTGAGTATCCACTATCCTTTGCTGCATGTCTGGAGCAAGAAGAAATATTTAAGATACTAAGAGAAGCTGGAGCTGACCCAAAAAGAAAAGACAATAATGGGAACACTGTGCTTCATATGATGGTCATACACAACAAGAAGGTTTGTAATATGCAAATTACATGTAACTTATTAACCTTTGACCACCAAAATTTTGGTTCAACATTTTGTAAATTTGTATGAATTTTTCCATAATTTCGTCATCAATTTTAGAAATCATTCTACATCAGCTACAGATTTTGATCAATTTAAAAATATTTATTTTTTAATTTTTTAAAGCAATTTAAAAAAGGTGCAGGTTTATTTTGTGGATATTTTCAACTCCTTGTTAAAAACCAAAAGTCCAATTGCTTTGATATTACATATATAGGTACTACATGTGGACCTCTCTCAGATTTGTTCATATCATGATGATATCTTCAATTCTCTAATTTCGCTTAATATTTTTATCAATTTTTGGTAAAAAGTGATATTTTCGACTTCTTGTTTAAAACAGAAAGTCCCATTGCCTTGGTACTATACATAGACGGCAAAAGTTGACTTTGGTGCCCATTGGATTAACTGGGTGTGGTACATTAAATGTTAACACATACACCTCACATTGAGGCATATCAATT